CGCAGGGGTACTACTAGCGACCCTGCGCTTTCAAGGGGACTACAGTGCTAGTTGCGGGCACTTTCCGCCCCTCCGCCACTCCGACAGGAACATTATGGAAACAACACAGAACTCGGTACACCCTGTTTCTCGCTACACTGAACTGCGGAAACACACTGAACAGTGGAACTATTCCTTGGACGTATTTGAAAAGTTTACAATATCCGTCTCTAGGAGGCGGGTGATCCGAAATTTCGTTGACCTGGGTACCCTACCGAGCCATATTAAAAGTTTAATCGACCGTCTTCAAAGGTAGCTGACCTCGTCAAACCGAACTGGTGCAAAAGTTTACTATATCGCGTAATTTGGCGCGTTGAGCCACAGGGTTCAGTATACCGGCATACACAATAGCGAGAAACAGGGTGTACCATATTCACCCACGTGTCACAAATTCGGAAAGTTCAGATGATTTAACAAGTTCATTCTCAAAAGATGGTGGTCGCATCCTCCTTTCTATGGAGGTCGCAAAAAGCATCCCGTCATTGCACCAAATGTTCCAGATGTTCCAGATGTTCCAGATGAAATGACTTTTTTCACCTGAAAAAGATGGTGGTCGCATCACCCTATCAACATTGGAATTTAGCTAGTTTATTTGAGTTAAGAGACCTTAAAAAAGGTCTCGAAGAATGAAGTTTGATCTTACGAACCTCTATCAAGGTGGTGTATCAACTTCAAAATCGAAAGGCCACACACGTAACCGGACGTGACAATAAAGTTGGACAAAAGGTTTTACCCCTATTTGAGGTAAAACAGCAGACCTTTGGCTAACGGTATCAAATACAGCAGCAGCCGGGAAAACGCATGGCAAAAAAAAAAAAAAACCCATAGGGAACCTGGACTCATTTTCGGGAGGGATAAACCCTAAACATGGGAACCCACATTTTTTTAGGGTTGATGCCTCCCCGAGACGCATCCCTTCCCGATTGGGTTTTAGTTTTTTTTGGTCAAGTAAAGGGATATTTTATCCAGTGGCATGCGAAATTTGTGACACGTGGGTGAATGTGGGACCGAGTTCTGTGTTGTTGCCATAATGTTCCTGTCGGGGTGGCGGAGTGGCGGAAAGTGCCCGCAACTAGCTCTGTAGTCCCCTTGAAAGCGCAGGGTTGCTATATTACCCCAGCGAAAGCTACTTACCCATGAATGAACAAACACCACTAAAAACAGCTTACTGTTGGCTTTCTGCTACTAATAAAGGGTTTTTATAAGAGACGTGACAAAACATTTTGGAGTTCTCATGAGCAGTTACATGTTCCGCCAATTCGATCACGAACGGTCACATGTTCTGCCGAATCTATCACGAACCATCACACGAGTATCACCCGCCGTCACTCAAAGGCACTAAATTCTATCACGGGTAGTCATACTCGAAACTTTGTTATCACAGATGAACCCTCTCATCATTTCGTTGACCCGCCCTGAAATACTGTACAAATTTAGGGACTATATTTCGGGTTGCTGGTTTTTGTTATGTATACGCGACCATTTTGGGTGCAAAGATACCTGGTTACGTTCGAATCGACGTAACACACTTTAGTTAAAAAAACATGCATGGATTTGAACGCATATATCTTTTGCTAGAGTTCGCAATTTATTGAATCTGCCTAAATGTTTATCAAGATTCTGAACAGTCCATAAATTGGAACGGTCACATGCCTACATCCATATCAAGATGCGGATAAACATCTTTGAAAGATTCAATGAATTGTGAACTCTAGCAATATACATATGCGTTCAAATCCATTCATAAACCTTTTAAAACTAAAATGTGCAGGGCTGACGTTTCATTTTAAGCTTCCCTGATTTTGGGGAAAAATTTCCCCCTCTATTACGGGTGCACATTTTCCAGAAAAGCAGTACCCTGATTGCTCAGGGTTGTAAAGTAGTTCATACTGATTGTTCAGGGTCGAGAACTGAACATCAGAGTAGTAACGCGCGCTTTATTACCGGGAAAAATATCCCCACTCTCCATAAAGTCTCGAAGTTTCGATCAGAACGAAGTTTCGAAGAAACTTCGTCTCGATAAAGCGGGAAGGGGGGGGGGGGGGGGATTACGCACATGTGGGGGGATCACTGCGATCAATCCAAGGCGGGGTCATCGGAAAGAAACTTTCAAGAAACTTCCTCTCGATAAGTCGGGGAAAATATCCCCACTCTCCATAAAGTCTTGAAGTTTCGATCAGTACGAAGTTTCGAAGAAACTTCGTCTCGATAAAGCGGGAAGGGGGGGGGGAGGGTTACGCACATGTGGGGGGATCACTGCGATCAATCCAAGGCGGGGTCATCGGAAGGAAACTTCCGAGAAACTTCCTCTCGATAAGTCAGGGTCCACACAGTCGATACTCTGTTAAGTCAGGGTCCACTAACAGCCTAGTCTGTTACACTGTACTCAAAATCAGGGATAGCTAAACTATTACTCTGATTAGATCAGGGCTGGAAATTCAATAACTCTGAAATTTCAGTCTCCACGAAGTGGAAAGCCTGAAATCACCCTGAAATCAGGGTAATTACCCTGATAAAATCAGCCCTGAAAATGTGTTACGTCGATTCGAACGTAACCAGGTATCTTTGCACCCAAAATGGTCGCGTATACAGGACAAAAACTAGCAACCCGAAATATAGTCCCTAAATCTGTACAGTGTTTCAGGGCGGGTCAACGAAATGATGAGAGGGTTCATCTGTGACAGCAAAGTATCGAGTGTGACTACCCGTGATAGAATTTAGTGCCTTTGAGTGACGACGGGTGATACCTGTGTGATGGTTTGTGATAGATTCAGCAGAACATGTGACCGTTCGTGATAGATTTGGCGGAACATGGGACTGCTCGTGATAACTCCGAAATGTTTTGTGACGGCCGTATAAAAACCCAATAATAAATCGAGGTCTGAGATATTCGATGGATGTGGACTTTTTGAAAGCACAGGGACCTTGGGGCAACGTTCATCAGAGCAAGCAAACCCCTCTCTGGTGCTGAGCAATAGTGAGTGGGTAGAGGTTGTAAAACAAGAGCAGCAATGAACGGGAAATCTCTCAAGTTTATTTCAACGCCCTCGATTGTTCCGTTCAACTTGCTCCCGATGTTCTGCGGAGTGAAGAAAGGGTAATGTAGGTATAGTTCGGTGCTAGTGTTCTGTACCCCCTGATAAAATTTCACCAGACCAAACAAACGACCACAAAATGATTTCGGACGAAATGATGCGAGCTGCCCATAAAACTCACTACAGTTCTCCCGAACAAAGTCTGCGAAGTGGGAAGCGAGCCACACGCAGCCTTGAAAGGCTGTGTCGTGTCACATGCTTGTAGGGAAACAGCCAATGAGGTGTTCGATTTTGGAAAAACCGACAAAATCTATGAACCAGTTCAGCAAATCGGGCAATCTACCCGTTGCAGCTGTAGATTCATAGAAATTACCTCATCCTCTCTTTAGAACTACCTTTTTATCAGCGTGTAAGCTTTTCAAGATGGTTCACAAAAGCAAAATCGTCCGTATGTTACAGTTTACAGCTGTTCGAGTGGCTTCACACTCACGAAATCGGCATTCTCGGGGAGGCTGTGTTTTATGACAATACTCGATTCCTCGAAGTTTGCTCTCTGTCAACTCCAAGGGACTTGACTTCCTCCACTCGCCTCCAGTTTCTTCTCTCCTTGGAAGTCAGCTGAGAAGCGATGATCATTCTCGGGGATGTTTGGAAGGAATCTCACCCTCTGACGTGTACTATTGTTGACAATAGGTTTCCAGGGAGCGGCGAGCTGCGATGGCCAACTAGTACCAGATTTCATGTCTTCCACTACCATAGCTTCGCCAATCCATGGCGGATCTCCCTCCAGAGGTGCACGCTCGTAACATTCGCACAGATAGGCACCCCGAGTCGCTCCATATGCACTTACAACTCGAAGAAGGCGGCTCGTCGGCACCAGGAACTCCAGCATACCCCGCGTCGCACGCTGCTAGTAGTCCCGACGGGCCTAGTAGTCCCGGCGCGTCCGCGTCGCCCCATGGGAGACGACTGTCGCCGTCTGGTTCTCGACACAGAGCGGGAAAGCGGCATACGCTGCTTCTAGCACGCACTGCCAGTCATGCGACCTCCCTTGCACGCGCCTCTCCCGCATCTACGACTTCCGGCAATGCGATGGCTTCCCGTGCTGCTCGATCAGGCTCCGGAGATCATTCCTCGTCCGTCCGATCGTCCACGTCATCCTCTCGTATGAACCACAGGAAGAGAAGCGTAGCGCGTGGTTCTAGCAACCCAGCGTCTGTAGCGTCCTCCGCTTCTGGTTTCACATCCACGGCAAATGCTGCGGCCGCGGGAACCACTGCAGATGCAACCGCCTCCAATCCGAACGGGATTCTCAATGTCAGATCAGAATCGTCACCTGGCAAGGGATTGGAGCAGTTACTTTACACCGGCGCTTCAGCTTCATGTGACAATGCCTTGAATCTGGAGGGAAATTTTCAGCATAGTGGCGACGAGACAGTGGATGCGGAAGTCGCACGGGAGAGCTGCGTGGACGGTGGGGAGGGAGAGGGTGAAGGTACGCAGAACCTCGAATCCAGAAGCCTTCCGCCTGTGCTTCCCAGCTCTTGCGTGCCCGTTCCTGCCGTTCGGAACCATGATTTGGATAGTGCCAGCCAAAATGCTCTCACCACCGGAATCGACGCCTTTACTGCTAATTCTTCTGCGAAGGGTGGTGAATCCGTACCAGATGCTATGGAGGATTTCGAAGAAGGCAGCAGCGACAGCCAGGCTCTTCGAGTCTCTGGTTTGCCACGATGTTTTCCATTGCCTCCTCCTGCTCGCGTCTCTCCTGCTCGCGTCTCTCCTGCCAGGCCTCCCCTGGCGTCATCCCTCTCAGCGCCTCCGCGATCCCTTGCCTTATACGGAGGACGGAGTGTACCACCCGGGGCAGGTGACGCTGGAAGCTCCGTTCAAAAGCCTGCTTCGTTACAAGCAGCCTCAGGCTCGATGCATGCACGGCCAATATCGAGCCGGAGCCTGCCATCCGGTGCTGTTATCGACGTGGAGGGGGGTGCAGCTGCGGAGGAGGGTGGGGCAGAGAAGATATTTGTGGCGGTGCGAGTGAGGCCGTTGAGTGCGAGGGAGGTGGCGGCAGGGGAGGAGAGTGTGTGGCAAGTGCTCGACGCCTGCTCTATCCGCTCTGTGCTCCCTTCCACTGCGCCTGCTTCGTTGCAAGGAGACCGCGCAGTGCCTGCTCAGACTTACCACTTTGGTAACGCCTCTTCTTTGCCACAGGGATGAGATGCATCGTACATACAACACTACCCTTCCTTTTCGTTTCAGTAGGGATTACCTGCTGCAGTGCTCACTGCTCTCCCCCCTTTTTCGGCCTTTCTATCTTATTCCGAATGAAAGTAATTCCCCTCATTATCCACTGGGCAACCTTCTGTCGTTTTCTGGCGTCCTTGAACTCGCCTTCGTCCTCTCACATCTGCATCTTCACACAAGCCTGATCTGATCCCATCTTCTCAGAGGTTCCATGCCATATCTCTTCATCTTCATGTCAGCATCGTTTTCCCTCCCACGCTCTCGTTCCCTCCCCTATCGCTAAGTACAATTCCCCATGCAAATCCTGCACCGCCCTGCATCCCCTGCGTCTCCTGTGCCTGTGCATGCAGACAGGGTATTTGACGAGCAGGCGTCGTCCCTGGCAGTGTACCAGCACGCAGCCAAACACGTGGTGCTCTCCGTGCTGCAAGGAGTCAACGGTTCGTCCGTCTATCTGCTCTTTCACCTGCCCCTTCACCTCTCTCTTTACCTGCCCGTTCACCCGCCCCTTCCTTTTCTGCTCTACTTGTTCCCGCGTTTCTTCTCAGCACCTCCCTCCGACTGCTCTAAGCCCATCCTTTTCGACCCAGTCTCTCCTGTCCCGTCAGTTCCACTCACTAACTACCTCTCACTATCGTGAGACAATCCCCTGTCATTACATGGACGGAGCTTCTTTCTCGTACAGTATGTGAGGTGAGGTGAGGTGAGGCTAGGACTAATCTATCCAGTTTCCCGAATCCCTTCCCCTTCCATGGCTGTTTGTTTCCCCCCCTCGCCTCGCCTCTCCCACCCCCCGCCAGGCACCATCTTTGCATATGGGATGACAGGGAGTGGCAAGACGTTCACCATGGCAGCAGTAACGGAGATGGCTATACAGGAGATCTTTGATCACATAACCAAGGTGAGGATGGGGATCAGATCAGTAAAGCACACTTATCGCACTTGCCAGAATATAGGGAAATCTTGGGGGTGTTCAGAATCTAGTACCGAATAGTCAGCATGATTAGATATCTGAAAGGATTGTTAGGAAGGCTTGGTTGGATCGCTGGGGTGTTTGGCTTTCACAGTCTAATCAGCCCTCCTTTCACTGCGCGTTTTTCTCCCCTCCTGAGAGTCTTGGAAGTGATCCTGAGACTCTCTCTCACTTCCTCCTCCTTGCCTCGTTCACTTGCACTGCATGTCAAAGCAACCTACCACGCACACGCACCCCTTTTTCCCCGCTCCTCCCACCACCCAGCTCTCCTCCCCCTCGACCCCACTCACCCCTCCTCCTCCCTTCCCATCTTCCTTCTCCCCTTCACCCTCCTTCCATTCCACTCCAGCACGGCGGCGAGCGGGAGTATTCCCTGCAGCTGGCAGCCATGGAGATTTACAACGAGCAAGTGCGGGACCTGCTGGGCTTTGAGGTGTCTTAGGATTTTCCCCCTGTCCCCTCCCTCCACCCAACCTCTCCCCCACCTCAGCACGGCGGTGAGCGGGAGTATTCCCTGCAGCTGGCAGCCATGGAGATCTACAACGAGCAAGTGCGGGACCTGCTGGCTGCTCCAGGGGACAGCGCGCCGCTCAGAGTGCTCGATGGCGCAGAGGTGGGTGGGAGAAGTGGGCGTGGTGGGGAGCAGTGTGGGTGGTGGGGTGCGTGGGAGGAGAGTGAAGTTGTGCGAGGGCAAGAAGGGGACGGGTGATCCTCGAGATGCCTCAAGGCAATGCCGGGTGGTGGGGTTCGTGGGAGGGTAATCAGGGAATGCCTGGGAGGGGATGAGGTTGTGGGAGGTAAGGAGATGACGGATGAGTGGGAGGAGGGATGGGAGGAGGAGCAACAGGAGCAGGGAGGGCGGGAGGGGTAGGTGTGCTGTTGCCTGTGCATTTCTGTCTCTCTGTTTGGGGAATAGCACACACACAAGTGTGTGTGTGTGTGTGTGTGTGTGTGTGTGTGTGTGTGTGTGTGTGTGTGTGTGTGTGTGTGTGCATGTGTACATGCGCGTGTGCATGCATGCATGCGTGTGTGTGTACACGTCTGCGTGCATGCATGCATGCGTGGCGCCTATCCCCCATGCAGGGCGGGACTCTAGTGGAGAACCTGTCACGCCATGACGTACGCTCGCCAGCACACCTGCTGCTGCTGCTGGACCAGTGCACATGTGAGTGCGAGAGTGTGTGAGGGCGGGGTGTGCGAGTGGGGGGCGTGAGAGGGGCGAGTGCGAGAAATGGGAGTGTGTGATGGGGGAGTGTGAGAGGGGGGACTGAGAGGGGTGGGAGTGTGTGAGACGTGGGAGCGCGTGAGAGACAGCTCTTTTCCCTCGCTTCCCAGTAGGTCCCACCTTTCTCTCCTCCTCCAACTTCGTCCCCCCCACCCGCTCCCAACCACACCCTTCCTTCCTCTCCCACCCATCCCCCCATCCACACCCCGTCTCTCCCCACATCCCCCATCCCATCCCCTCCCCCTTCCCCATGCATGGCAGCCCAACGCACAGTGGGGGAGACGCAGATGAACGAGGCCAGCTCTCGGTCACACCTCATCGTACAACTGGTGAGTCAGACACAGGACGTTGGGGTGTGGGGGTGAGGGTGCGGGAGACGGTAGGGGAGACGCAGATGAACGAGGCCAGCTCACGGGTGTGGGAGTGAGGGTTGTGAAAACAGGGGGGAGACGCAGATGAACGAGGCCAGCTCTCGGTCACACCTCATCGTGCAGCTGGTGAGGCAAAGGAAACACCATGGTGGGAGTGAGGGTGGGGGTGAGGTTGGGGATGAGGCTGGGGTGGGGGTGGGGGTGGATGTGGGGGGGGGGGGGTGGGGGGTGGATGTGGGGGTGTCACGCAAGATGTTCTCAATGCATGCTATGCTAATACCAACCTGGGGGCCTATACCAATTGCACACAATGCCAAGTCCTCAACTATTCCCGCTTCTCGAATGGTCCCTCCTCTCATTCCCATCCCATCCCGTTTCCCTCTCTCCATTACTCCTCTGTCACTCTGCCCGCGACCACTCTCTGTCCTATGTGCAGTTGTGCCTGCCTGCAAACTATGCAGAACGAGGTGACTTTTGAGTCGACTCAAAAGTCACCTCGTTGCCTGCCTGCAGACTGTGCAGAGCGAGCCCAACTGCAGCATCCTTTTGAGGCGCCTCATGAATGATTTCCCTCTCTCCGTTACTCCGTTACTCCCCTGTCACTCTGTACGCCACCACTCTGTGCTGTGCCCCACACATGCCTGCAGACCGTGCAGAGCGAGCCCACCGCACCATCTGCCTCTCCACACCTCTCCACCGCCTCCCTCTTCACTGAACCCCCACCTGCCTCCACTGCTTCTGCTGATGTTACAAGCGCTCACCCCACCGAGCCAAGGCCCACCGAAGCATCAGAAGATGGCCCCACCAGTGTCTCCGCCTCCTTTTCCTCCTCCTTTTCCCCCTCCGTCGCCTCCTCCTTCGCCTCCTCATCCATGCTCTCGTCCTCCGCGTCCCTCCCCCTCTCCGAATCCTCCGCCTCTGCGCCGCTTGCTTCATCTGCGCCTGGCCTTGCTCCCCTGCCGGCACCTGTCCTACGTGCCACTCTGGTAATCATTCCCATCAATACTCTCAACAAAGAGTCACCAATACATCACCAATATTCACCAACCTCTCTCACCCGTTGTGCCCATGTGCCTTGCCTTCCCCTCTACCCTGACCCTTCATCCGTCAACCCGCATTCAATAATTTTCTGATCTTCCACCTTCAATCCCGGTGTGCTGCATGTTGCACGTTGAATGCTGCTGCCTTCCTTCCTTCCTTCCTTCCTTCCTTCCTTCCTTCCTTCCTTCCTTCCTTCCTTCCTTCCTTCCTTCCTTCCTTCCTTCTTTTCTCCCTCCCAACCTTCCTTCTCCCTCCTTCCTTGCGCTCTCTCCCCTCTCCTCCCACTCTCTCCTCACCACGAATGGTGAATCTGGTGCCTCTCTCCGAATCTGGTGGATCTCACAGGCAGTCAGAGGGCAGGGCAGGTGAGTTTCCAGTCGACTCAAAACTCAACTCGACCCAGAAATCGACTCAAAACTCCCCCCTTTTCCTACCCATCCCACGCGCCTCCCACAGAATCTGGTTGATCTAGCGGGCAGTGAGAGAGCGGGGCAGATGCAGTCAGAGGGGCAGCGGCTGAGGGAGGGAGCACACATCAACCGCAGCCTGCTCACTCTCAGCACCGTCATCCACAAGCTCAGGTGGGCATGCATGAGTCTGCTTTGGGGTCCCTTACGAATCGTCTCACTTTTGAGGTGCATCTGTCGCAGCCTGCTCACTCTCAGCACCGTTATCCACAAGCTCAGGTGGGCATGCACGCACGCGCACGAGTCTATGACTGCGTCTGCGGCACTTCAGAAATAGTCTCGCTTTCGAGGTGCATGCATCAACCGCAGCCTGCTCACACTCAGCACCGTCATCCACAAGCTCAGGTGAGTGTGAGTCAGCACCGTCTCCGACTCCAACGGAGAAATTGCAGTCTGCTGCTCTACTGGTGCGACTTTTGAGAATTCTCATTGAGATCTCAAAAGTCGCACCAGTCTGCTGCTTCACTGTGCTCAGGTGCCGGCCCCTGATGGTCCTGTCTGTCGGCTCTAACTGCTAGTGCTGCGATCTGCAGGGCTGTTTACATTGCCCACAGGAGGAGGAGTAGCCATGGTAATTCTGTGTGAGCCGAGCTGCTGCTGGTGATACGTTGGGCAGCAGAGGGAAGGAATAAAATAGTGGTCCTGTTCACACTTCCCAGTTGCAGTCTCAGAACAACGAGTATATTCTCACATTCATCACACTTCCGCTTCTACCTCCCTGCACCTCCCCCTTCCCCCCTCCCACTCTACCCATTTGCCTCTTCCCTTCAGTGCCCCTGCCTCTTCCCTCTCCTCCTCCTCCTCCACGCCACCCCCCCTCTCCTCCTCCTCCTCCTCGTCCCCCTCCCGTGCCCCCCACATCCCCTACCGGGACTCCAAGCTAACGCGCATCCTGCAGAGCGCGCTGGGGGGCAACGGCCGCACGGCCGTGCTATGCACTGTGAGCGCTGCAGCGTGCCACACAGAGCACACGCGCAACACCCTGGCGTTTGCTGCACGCGCCAAGCAGGTCTCCACCACCGCCAAAGTGAACACGGTTAGTGGCGGTGTGGCGGGAAGGGTTTCTGGTTTAGGCGCTCTTGTGGTTTAGGCGCTCTTGTGGTTTAGGCGCTCTTGTGGTTTAGGCGCTCTTGTGGTTTAGGCGCTCTTGTGGTTTAGGCGCTCTTGTGGTTTAGGCGCTCTTGTGGTTTAGGCGCTCTAGAACTCGATTGCTGCGCGTTTGCTGCGCATTTGCTGCGCGCGCCAAGCAGGTCTCCTCCACTCATCCTGACAGGATGAGTTTCTGGATTAGGCGCGTTTCTTGTCCAGGCGAGAAGGAGCTCATTGTTTGGTCATCTCAAAATCGGCCGCTGCTCAGGCCAAGCAGGTGTCTGTCTGTCTGTCTGTCTGTCCACCACATGTGATTAAGTGTCAACACTTTCAGTGGGGGGAGGAACCTGGTGATGCAGGTGGATGGTGGAGAAATGGAGGTGTTGAGTTGAGTCGACTCAAGAGGTTGCTCCATTGAGTGTGCTTCCCTGTCACACGTTTGGGTTCATGATGAGACCCTATGCAGCTGCTGCCATGCGGAATCACAAGGCGAGACGCTGACCAGATTTGCTTGCACGCATGTATGCATGTGGATATGTGTGTGTGCGTGTATGCATGTGGATATGTGTGTGTGCGCGTATGCATGTACATGCGTGTGTGTGCGTTTGTGTGTGCGTGTGTGCTTGTGCATGCGCGCGTGTGTGTGTGGGGGGGGGGGGGGGGGGGGCGCGTGCATGTTTGCGTGGTGATCATGCTTATACGTGCATGAACTCTGAGCAGGTGGAATCGGGTCAAGAGAAGGTGATTCGGCAGCTGCAACAGCAGGTCAAGCTGCTGGAGGGTAAACTGAAAGGCGTGGAAGAGGAGAGACAAAAGCAGCAGCAGCAACAGGAGCAGAAGCAGCAGCAGGCTTTGAGTGAGGAGGCAGGCGGGAGGAGGAGGAGCAACGAGGGCGTATCAGCAGCAGCAGCAGCAGCGAGGCAGCTGATACTGGAGTACGAGGAAGCAATGGGACAGCTAGAGGCAGAGAAGGAGGAGGTCAGTGGGATGCGGGCATGGCAATCGTAAACGCCCTTAACAATTGCACCACACCTGGACGCTTCTGCAATCACGCACCCACACCACACACACACACACCCATGCTTCCTCAATCATGCACTTTTTAGCAGTCCTAGTCCATGCATCTCCTGTCTGATCTGGGAATACAGTGACTTTTGAGTCAAAAGTCCAGATCAGAAGTCTCCTAGTCCAGGTATCTCCCATCTGATCTGGGAATACGGTGTCCCTACATCAACGCGTCGCTGGGCTGCTCTAGCTTTCTCTATTTCTCTTTCCCTGATCCCCCTCATTCTCCCCGGCCCCTTGCCACCTCCTCCCCTCTCCCCTCCCCCTCAGCTGTTCGCGCATGTCTCCCAGGTTAATCCCATCCCCTTTTGAGAGAACCGTTAGAGGGACAAGCCTCGGTCTCGGTTTTTTTAAATACAAGACACCCTACTTCCCGTATTCCCCTTTTTTTAACCCCAAATCCTTTCCCCTTCAGCTGTACGCGCATCTGCCACGTGCTCTCTCCCAGAGGGACGAGGCGCGGTGTTTTCAAAGGCGCCTCAACCCCCCCATCCCCCACCTTCCCAACCTTGAACCTCCCTTCCCCTTCAGCTGTACACACATCTGTCGCGCGCTCTCTCCCAGCGGGACGAGGCGCGGTGCATGGTGGCAGCGCAGCAGAGGGAGGTGCGGGCCATGCGGGAGCACCTGGCGCTGCTGCAGTGGCAGCTGGACGAGGGTCAGGGGAGCGAGGAGAGCGAGGGGAGTGAGGGGGGCGAGGGGAGTGACGGGGGCAAGAGGAATTTGGTGGAGGGGGATGGTGGAGAGGATGGTGCGGTGAGGAGTGGTTTGGAAGGAGGGAGTGGTGTGGAGAGAGCAGCAGGGCGAGAGGGGGTTGGTGAGGATGAGGGCGGGAGACAGGGGAACGAAGGGGCTTTAAGAGGAATTGATGGGGAAGCAACAGCAAGCCATGTGGTTAGCTGTGTTGCATCTCGAGCAGGCAACAGCAGTGGGAGGTTCAGCAGCAGCACCAGAATGAGCAGAAGAAGCAGGAGGGGGAGGAGCGTGAGTCATTCAAGGAGGACGAGTCCTGTGTCTGCTGTCCGCCCGCCCAGTGCCACACTTAGTCTCTTCCGAAGTAGTTTCTCGTTTACTGATCCTGATGGCACTCTGCTGTTCCAGCAGCAGCAGCAGCAGCAGCAGGAAGAGCAAGAGCACCTGGAGACTGATGATTACAGGAATATTGGTTCCTCCCCCAGCCGCGGCCGCAAGAGTAATGCTGTTGTCGCTGCTGACGCTGCCCATGCTGCTGACGCTGCCCATGCTGCTGACGCTGCCCATGCTGCTGACGCTGCCCATGCTGCTGACGCTGCCCATGCTGCTGACGGTGCTGGCTCTGTTTCCACTCGACGGTATGTATGATGTTTCCAGTTTTTAGATGATCATTCACGGATTGTCTGGTTGCTGGCTTGCTGCCACATCGCATCGCATCGCACTTCATCGCATCGCATCCCATCGCATCGCATCCCATCGCATTGCGTCACGTCACATCACATCCCAGCATCTTCCATCCCATTCTCATCTATACCCCTTCACTCTGCATGTATACGTCTTTTGAACAGTTAACCCACCCGTAACCCTTTCCCTCCTCCTCGTTACCCCCACCCTCTCTGCCGTTATAACCATCTCTGTGACCAATAGCTAACCCTTACCCAATCCGTACCTTCTAACCCCGCCCACCCTCTCCTCCCGCGCTCTTGTGAGCAGCAGCGACTATGATCCTTACTCAGTCAATACCCTTTCCCCATTCTGCCTCTTCGATCACTCACCCTCTCCGCCCGTCTACCAATTCCTGTGAGCAGCAGCGACTATGCAAGGCAAGCGTGGGTGCAGCAGCTGCAGCGGCTGGCAGTGATGGGCGAGAGGATGGGGCAGCAGGACGCGCACAGAGCACTGCTCGCGCTACAGGCTGAGATTCACTCGCTCTGGCTCTCCGCCTCTGCTTCCCTCTCTCCCTCTGCTTCCCTTCGAACCTCCGGTTTTCCTGCTGCTGCTGCTGCTGCTGTTGCTGCTGATCCTCCTACTGGTGCTGCCAGCACTGCTGGTGCTGCTGCAGCTGGTGGTGTTGCTTTTGATTTCCCTTCTGCAGCTCCGCAGATCTCTGCTGCTTCGTGTGCTGTGGTGGATGGTGCAGCACGTAACAGCGGTTGCGCCACTGCTGCCACAGAGGCAGTTTGCTATGGGTATCGGAACAGTGCTAGCGGCAGTAGTAGCCCTCTCTTCCGCCACTCACTTTCTGCACTGCCACCGCCATTACCACCTGTCCTTGGACCGCCAGAAGCAGCAGCAGCAACTGCAAGAGCAGCAAGTGCAGGAACAATGGCAGACGGCACAACCGAAGCAGCAGATGCAGCAGAAGCAGCTTCAGCATTGGCTGCATCAACTGAGCCTCGAATCAGCTTGTCAAACCCACAGGGAGAAGCACAAGTGGTGGCCGGAAGGGACGGAAGATTCTTACGCATGCTTGGCACGTACAACCCAGAGCCAACGGACACAGCTGCTCCTTCTGGATCATCCCTAGACGATCCTGTCGTTGCTGGGGCTGGTGAGGCTGCAAGCTGTGCTGCCTCCGGGGAAGCAGCTGCTGGTGCTGAAACGGTACAATGGAGTGACATCAAGGCGCCACTGCTGCAGGATACCTCAGAGGGGCTTGAAGGTGCAATGGTGCTGGCTGGCCTGCATTCTGCTGCTGTTGCTGCTGGAGTGACGAGAGGTGCAGCGACAGGCACTGCTAACGCAGCTGCTTCTCCTGATAACGATGGCTTGCTCTTGCTGCTGCAGCACCAGCACCAGCAGCAGCAGCAGCAGCAGATGGGACGGATGAGAGCACGAGCGATAGAGGAGCTGGACGGGGAGCAGGAGTTGGAAGGAGAGGAGAATCAGGGGCAGGAAGGGGAGGAAGAGGAGGAGTACCCATGTGCGGCTATCCCTCGGCTGGAGCGGCAGCTGCAGCGCATGCAGCTGTCTCTGCGAGGCATGCTGGCTGTCGCTGCTGCTGCTCATGAAGCTGAAAGAAGCAGCGGTGATTCCCTTGCGGCTGCTCGGTCGAATGCTCATGATCATCTCACTCCTGATGCTGCCATTGTAGGCTCATGTTGTCCCGGATTGGCAAGTGTTGCTGCTTCGGCTAGCGCTAGTGCCCCTGCTGGTGCAGTATACGGCACAATTGCACACGCAGCCACTCCCTTGGGGCGTGGTGGTATGGCTGATGGCATGGCTACTGGTTTGGCGGAGAGCATGGCGGATGGTGTAAGAACTCCTGCTTTTGCGCTTGACAGCGCTGCCGTTACAGATACGGCGGTTGGTGCGAGTGCTGCATCTCCCCGCCACTCCATCCCCCCCGCCTCGTCCTTCTCTCCCTGTGTGTCCCTCACGGCCTCGTCCTCCTTCTCCCTCGCCCTCGCCCTCGCTTCACCTGCTCGGTTCTCTCCCAGGGTCGTTGGGAGTATGGAGGCGCCTCAAAGGTCAATCTCCGGCTCATCTCCCTTCCCGTTTGCTCTAGGTCCACCTGCCAGGTTTTCTCTTGGGGGGGTTGGGAGTGAGGGGAGAGGGAGGACGATCGGGGATGGTGGTGGTTACTGTGGTGTTGGTTTGATTCGTGTTGTGGGAGGGGATGAGGAGAGGCATGGGGAGGACGATGTGGGGGAGAGTCGGGTGGGTGGGTGGCAGGGTAGCGTGATGAGGAAGGGAGGCCAGGCAGAGGAAAGAGAGGAGAGGGGAGTGGGAGGGGTGGGCGAGGAGGGAGGGGAGGGAGATGAGGGAGAACGAGAGTGGGCGGAGGAGGGAGTGGGTGAGGAGAGGAGGCAGATAGCTGAGGAGGGGCATGTACTTGAATGGGAGGGTGGAGAGGAGCAGAGAACACTGGGAAGGGTGGATGGAGTGGAGAAAGCAGAGGAGTATGTCGAAGAGACAGAGAGTGAGAGACACTCGGTTGGAGAGGGGAACACGGGAAAATCTATGGAGCGGGAGAAGGAGAAGCGAGGAAGACGGGAAGTAACAGCGGCAGCAGCATTTGCAGCAGCCGCACCAGCAGGGGAGCAGGAGCATGAGCAGTGGAAAGTGTGCGGAGCACTGGGGAGCAGCAGCAGCAGCATCGGCAGCGGCAGCAGGGGCAGCATGCAGCGGGTGATGCAGGCAGCAATGGATCGCAACATGGCGGCCATTCGCGTGTACGTGGGCGAGCTCAAGGAGCGAGTGACCAAGCTGCACTTCCAGAAACAGCTGCTGCTCTGCCAGGTGTGCATGAGGGCAGGGGAAGGGGTGTGTCTGTGGTAGGTGGAGGGGGGGTGGCCTGGCAGGTGCGAGGGGATCTACTATCAGGTGAACTTTGATTCGACTTCAAATGCACCTAGTACGTGCCGGGGGGAATGGTGTGGCATGTAAGGTTGTGCTAACCCTGTTGGGCATGGGTATAGGGTATGTGGGGTGGGGTGTGGTGCGGAGTGGTAACATGGTGCCTGGGGCATGATTCATGGGATTCGTTTCTGGGCTCTTAAGCCAGAACTTGGAGCATACAATCCGTAACTCTGCTTTGGATGAAACCTGTAAACCTAGGAGAGATGGGTAACTTCCATTCAGCCGAGGGACGGATAAATATCCATCACTTTCTTCTCCCTTCCTTTGCTTTTGTTGCTCTCCCCTCCTCTCCTCCCTTCCCTTGGCCTCTCCTCTCCTCTTCGTCCTCTCCTCCGTGTACTCACCCCGTCCCTCCCCTTCCCTCTCCTCCTCTCCCCTCTTTTCCCCTCGCCTAATCCAATCACAGGTGCTCGTGCTGGGGCAGAGAACTTGGTCTAGCTGCCTCTGCTGGGTACTTTCTCTCTTTTTCAGAATCTCCAAAAACACCCATCCCATCCAACCGAACCCCACACCTATACCGCAGGTGCTCATTCTGGAGTCAGAGAGGAGGAAGGCATTTGAGCCAATGCAAATGTTTCTTCCCATCCCATCCCATTCCCTCCCACGGTCCCAACCCATCCGATTCCTTCCCATACAATCCAACCCCCACACCTCTGTTGCAGGTGCTAGAGCTGGAAGCAGAGAAGGAGGGGCGGCTGCTGCTGCAGCAGGTGTTTTATGTAAATCTCAGTTCACCTTTTCCGTCCAACTCTCAAATCCACACCCCAATCGCAGGTGCTAGAGCTGGAGGCAGAGAAGGAAGGGCGGCTGCTGCTGCAGCAGGCGGACAGGGGCGGGAAGGTGGGCGGGCGGTGGGGGCACGAGAGGCACAGCAGACAGAGAATGACGTGGCAGGGGGAGAAGTGGCGCGGAGGGCACGAGGGGATGGGTGGGGGGATGGGCGTGTGGGGGGTGCGTGGAGGAGCAGGCATGGTACGTGAGTCTGACGTGGCATTGGGGAGGGGGGGGCTGGAGAAGATAGAGGAGGGGCGGAGTGGGCGGGAGGGGGCGGAGGGAGGGATGGGGAGAGGGGATGATGGTAAAGATTGGCCTGGTTACAATGCTGCTGGTGATGCTGACGATGCTGCTGCTGCTGGTGTGAATCTTGCTGCCCGTGTTGATTCTGCGGCTGGTGTTGATGCTCCTGCTGGTGCTGATATCGCTGCTACTGTTGATGCTGCTGCTGATGCTGATGCTGATGCTGCTGCTGATGCTGATGCTGCTGCTGCTGCTGCTGCTGCTGCTGATGCTGCTGCTGCTGCTGCTGCTGCTGCTGCTGCTGCTGCTGCTGCTGCTGCTGCTGCTGCTGCTGCTGCTGCTGCTGCTGCTGCTGCTGCTGCTGCTGCTGCTGCTGCTGCTGCTGCTGCTGCTGCTGCTGCTGCTGCTGCTGCTGCTGCTGCTGCTGCTGCTGCTGCTGCTGCTGCTGCTGCTGCTGCTGCTGCTGCTGCTGCTGCTGCTGCTGCTGCTGCTGCTGCTGCTGCTGCTGCTGCTGCTGCTGCTGCTGCTGCTGCTGCTGCTGCTGCTGCTGCTGCTGCTGCTGCTGCTGCTGCTGCTGCTGCTGCTGCTGCTGCTGCTGCTGCTGCTGCTGCTGCTGCTGCTGCTGCTGCTGCTGCTGCTGCTGCTGCTGCTGCTGCTGATGCTGCTGCTGCTGCTGCTGCTGCTGCTGCTGCTGCTGCTGCTGCTGCTGATGCTGATGATGGTGATCCAGGTGGGGAAGGGTTTTGGTACATGAACGGGAACGTGGGGAAGTGCGAGCATGGTGTGGTGCGTGTGGAGGAGGAGGGGGGCCATGATTGCACTGGAGAGGCAGAGGTAGGGGGAGAGGGAGGCGGGGGCACTGTGGAGAGTAGCGAGGAGATCAGCAAGCAGGGGCGTGCAAGTGGGGAAGAGCGGCAGGAAAGTGCAAGCAGAGTGGCAGGCAGAGATGCTTGTGTTGTAAACAACGTGAATATTGCAGCAGCACCAGCACCAGGCACGGCAGCAACAGCAACACCAGCTTCATCAGCAGCAGCAGCAGCAGCAGCAGAAGCAGCAGCAGCCACAGCAGCATCAGGCTCAACAGCAGATGCAGAGGAGGCGGCAGCAGCAGCAGTGCAGGCAGAGTGTTTGCTTGCAGACATAATCACCATGTGGCATGCTTGCCACGTGCCCCTGCTGAGACGCTCCCAGGTGCTGCTGGCCGTTGTGGGAAGTTGCATGGAGGGTGGTGCCATGGGTGATGGTAATGAAGGCCATGTGAATGATGAAGGTGGTAGCAGGCACGATGGACGCACGGGGCGTGGAGGAGAAGGGGTGCCGGCGAGCAGGGCAAGCAGGCCGAGGATGACGAGTGGGACGAGTGGAGTGATTGGGATGAGCAGCGTACATGTGGAGGTGGAGTGGCGGCACATGCGATGGCTGCACAGGCAGCTGCAACTGCCCTGCCATGCGGGCTGGCTCAGGTATGCGGTGATGGGGGGAGGGAGAGTGGGGAGAGATGGGGAGAGAAGAAAGTGCGAGAGGTGGGGATAGAGGGGGAGAGATGGGTGGAGAGGGGAGAGGTGGGGAAAAAGGGGATATGGGCTTGTTGTGGGAATGGAGAGTAGCTGGGGGAGGAAGAGACGTGGAGGGAATGGAAGAGGAGAGGAAAGGAAGGCAACCAAGAGGAAATCAATGTGCTCATCCCTCCTTTTGCCAAAGGTACAGTGAGTCTTGAGGTGAGTCTTGAGACGACTCAAATACTTACATTTGCAAATCCTCTACCTTTTCTGCCCGTTCTCCTCAAGCCCACTCTGTCCCAATCTGCCCTTGTGCAATGTGCTTCGTCTCTCCTCTTTCCTTCCAATCATCCTCGTGCGTCCTTCCTTCAAATTCCAAAACTCCCAGCTCCGTCTCACTTCCCTCCTCTCCCCCTCACTGCCTTCCCCTCCCGCCACTCCTCCCGTCCAATCCCCCAATCAGCCGGCGGCAGCAGCAGGTGCAGCAGGAGCGCGCAGCCATAGCCAGGCACATGAAGCGCCAACTATCCCCCACACACCGCCTCTCCCTCTTCCTCCTCTGGGGGATCAACCCTGCCTCTCGCCACCGCTGCTCCCAGCTCGCCCATTCCATCTGGCCCCCCCCTCCCCCTCCCCCTCTATCTTCCCCTTCTCCTCCTTCTCCCGCTCCCCCTCTGCCTCCTCGTCGCCCTCCGCTTGCTTTCGCGTCACCCTCTGCTGCACCTGCTGCAGCAGCCCCTAACCCAGCTGCATCACCTACATCTGCTGCTGTGACTGTGACTGGGACTGGGACTGGGACCACATTGACGGTGGCCCGTGCGTGCATTCACACGGCACATGCCAGTGCACACGTGGTCGCAGCATGTCTCTTCCACCCACCCACGCCAACACCTCCCGCGCCCTCCCAGCTTGCTACCGCTGCTCACGCACAAGCCCGGCCTCCATCGTCCCTTGTCCCTGCTGCTGATCCTAGCATGGGCAACAACACCTCCCGTGCAGCAGATGCTGATCGCAGTGCGAGCGGAAACAGCAGCAGCAGCAGCAGCAGCAGCAGCAGGAGAAGGCGTGGTGGTGCTGCCAGTGCGAGCAGCAGCACATGTCATGACGACGCACCCCTGGCACGGGGTTTCGTACCAGCGGGCTCGAGTCATGCTAAGCTTCGTGGCTCTACACCTGTTCCAACCAGTGGCAGTCACGGTGCGTGCTTGGGAGGGCTGCTAGGGCTGGTGCAAAGTGAGGGGATTGACAGAGTTGCTACGACAGCATGAAACAAAGCACGGGAGCAAGAAGCCACAGTAGCTCCGCACTGCTTATACATATAATCACTTTGTCAAACGCTCTCCCCATCTCGTTAGCTTTGTCTTTGTGTTTCTCGTTCAATCCCCCGTTTTTCTTTTTCCTTCTTGTGTTCCCTTCCGCGCCCACTGGTATTTCTTCTTCCGCCAGACCAACCACCCTCTCTCTCACACTACCATCTATGTAACCTCCCCTGCGTCTCAGGCCAGCACATACATTGGGTTTCTAGTCGACTCAAAATCCACCTATCTGACCCCACCCTCTCAGACTAGCACAGGCAATCAGTTGAAGCTGGGAGAGGAAAAGAGCTTCTTCCCACCAACCCCTCTTGCTTTTCTGCTTTCTCCCTCCTCTCTCTACTCCTCCATCTTTCCTCCTTCCCTTCTCCATGCCAGCACACGCAGTGGCTCTAGGACTGGCGGGCAGGCTAGTTTTGAGGCGCCTCAAAACCACACGCAGTGGTTCTAAGACTGGTGGAGGAGAAGGTATTTCGGGTTACAATTACTTTCAAGTCAACCCTTCCTGATTGCTCACTCCCTCTTCTCCTCTCCCTTCCTCTCCTCTCCCCCCCTCTCCTCCCCTTTCATCTCCTCCCCCCTCCTCTTCTCTCCCCTCCTCTCATCTCCTCACCTCTCCTCTCCCCTCCTCTCCTCTCCCCCTACCCCCCCTCTCAGTGGCAGCAGAGGTGCAAGAGCTGAGACTGGTGGAGGAAAGGAGTTGTTTCGTTCGACTTACTTCACCTTCTCCCCCTCTCTCCTCCTCTCCCCTCCTACCCCTCTCAGTGGCAGCAGAGGCTAGAGCTGAGACTGGTGGAGGTAAGAAGTCCTTCCATTCGCCTTACTTCTCCTTCTTTCCTATTCCCACATTCTCTCCCCGTCCCCCTCTCTCCCCCTCTCTCCCCCTCTCTCCCCTCTCTCCTCTCCCCTCCTACCCTCACAGTGACAGCAGAGGCGCTAGAGCTGAGACTGGTGGAGGGAGGGCCGCAGGGGCATTGGGGAGGCGCAACTGAGACGGGGAGCCGGGGCAAGGGCAGGGGCAGAGGGGGAGTGGCCGGGTGGAGGTGGTGGGTGGGGAAGGGCGCTTCTGTGAGGCCTGACCCTGATGCTTGGTGACTGGTTAGGTGGAGGCTGGGAGGAGAGAGAGGGAGAGGGACGAGGCACAGTTGAGTGGGAAGCAGAGGCAAGACCAGGGGCAGCGGAGGAGTGGCAAGGTGGAGGTGGTGGATTGGGAAGGGCGCTTTTGTGAGACCTGACCCTGATGCTGCGTGACGGGGCAGGTGGAGGTTTGGAGGAGAGAGGGAGAGGAACGAGGGGATGGGGCAAGAGAGGGGGGGTACGGGAGCAAAGGTGCTGGAGAGGAGGCTGGGATAGAAGAGAAGGGAGGAGTGGAGATAAGGGAAGAGAAGGGAGAAGGATGGGGAAGGATGCGGTGAGGTGAGGGTGGTTCCAGTGTCTGTCTGTCTGTTACTGAGGGAGCAATAAGATGATACTGTAGTATGGTAATAAACTGCTATTGCAGCTGCTGCTGAGAGAGCCAGGTATGATATTGCAACTTATGAGTGGGATGGGATGGAACGGGACAGGAGGGATCAGATGAAAGGACCTTGCGAAAAAAAAAAAAACAGATGTGTCATGGACAATTGACTGGTGATACGGTAGCAGGGAAGATATACCATGTAGCATGCTGGTAGGTACCATGCAGAGCAGGGCCTCAGATTCGTTTTGGCGTAGGCTGACTGGTCAACCTTAGGAGTGTGTTCATGGCTGATCTGTCAGTGTTGTTGTTTAAAAAAAAACTGACTTTTCAGGGTGTATATTAAAAAAAAAACTGAACGATCAGCGTCACTATTTGGTGAAGACTGAACCATTTCAAACAAGTTCTGCATTGATATAACAAACGTTTACAGGAAATCTAATTAAACATATCCTCATCCTCTTCATCATCATCACCCTCTTCACTATCACTAGAGCCTAAAGAGAGCGCCGCGGCCAGCGACGACCGCCGCCATGCTAGCTTCACGGGCAGACCGCGGCCCGTGAGGCACCATGGCGACGGGGGAAAGAGACAATCGGCGAGGCGAGGGGAAGGCGAGGCTGCGCGACGAGGGGAATGCGGGACGACTGGAGGCTGCAGGGAACGACGCGGAAGTTTGGCTCTGCGAGGGGAAAGGAAAGGGAGCAGAAAAGAAATATCTCTATCCTAAATCGTACTTACCTATTGGGCATACTGGTGTGTTGCTGCCGCACTGATGGGCTGCAGAGGAGAGCTGCAGAGGGATGCGGGTGGAGAAAATACGGAGAGGAATACAGGAAGCACGAGGGAGTGAAAGCGGAATCGCGGTTCCCTCTATCCCTCGCAACTCCCTCTCCCACGCAGCTAACTATCTCCCTCGCAGCTCACTCTCTCCGTCTCAGCCTGATCAAACGGAAACGAGGGAACCAAATGCGGGGGGCGATGAGGAGTAACGAGAAACAAATGTCTGTAGATTCGTACCTACTAAGATGGCGTTGCTGCTGAGCTGAGCTCACGGGCTGAAAAGGAGTGGGTATTCCCGTCAAGGAATATGCACGAACGAGAAGTGCAGCTCACGGGCTCACGGATCATCGTACAGCGACGACCAGCTGCGACGCCAGCTTCGCTGGCGAACGCGGCCCGCACGGCGCCATGGCGACGGGGGGAAAGGGAAGCGTGGCGCAGCGAGGGGAAGGTGAGGCTGCGCGATGAGGGAATGACGCTAGGCGAGAAATACACCTGTAGAGTAGAAGAAGAACCACTTCTACTCTACAGGTGTCCAGTACAAGTGCCTTGCATCTCCAAGTGGAGGGACGAGAGGGAGGGGCTGCTGCGAGCGATGCAGGCGCCGAGAGTGGGGAGATGCTCAGAGCGAGAAAAGCGAAGGTGAAGGGAGTGAAGATCCAGGTGGGTGAGAAAGAAGCGGACGGTCTGCGACCAGTGGGGGTTTCATCTACAGTTGGTACAGGAAAGAAGAATCTCTACCGTATCCTTGAGCCAAGATACCTTCGCGAGAAGACAGCAGTGGAGTGAAAGTTCGTGAATGACCATTCCCGAATGCGTTGGCAAGGAATCTTGCCATTTCGGCGTGATTGGCGGAGGGACGGTCGAACCGGTGTACCTAGACATCCGGAATTCAGGGCACCTACGCTAATCTCCATTACAGGGATTTCAGCCAACCCCTTCGTTACAACTCTGATGAGACAGCGTACACGACAGGAAAAAAGCTGATATTTCAGCACATACAGATTTAAAAACCCTGAAATTTCAGCAAACACACTTAAAAAAAAGCTGCCACAACAGCCCCACTATTCTCCCACCACTGAAATCACAGCCTTTTTACCCCTAATCAGCCTTTTTTCGCTGACTTCTGAGGGCCTGGTCAGACTCATTGACAATCTGAAGCACAAGGGATCCACTATACACAGTTATCCGCTTTGTACAATGTCTCAAATGCTGCACATTAGTGAACATACGGTTGAATTACCGTACTGGTAAGAGAACTCCCTACACATCCTGCCTGAGTACCAGCATCAGGCCCCTAGATTCGTTTTGAGGTAGTCTGAGGCCTCAGAGTACACCCCTCCTGGAACTCTGTCTGTCAGAGGTGCCTCAAAATTTTAGTCTGAAAATTCAGACAAGCACAAATTTTTTTGTCTGAACTGTCAGAGTTACTTCAAATTTTAAGATGTTCATGCAGTTTCGTAAAAGCCGTTATAATAGCATTGAAGCTGGTTACAGCCTACCATACCAACGCATCAGGCAACGTGCTCGTGCTCGTGCATCACCTCTGCTCATGTCGGCGGCGTTCCGGTGTTTTTGTCACGTGCAGCGCATGGTTGTTTCTGCTCTGCTGATCTCATTTCGTTTTGTCATGTGTGTGATTACCGTTCTGTACCCATTTTCTCGCATGTGTGCCGATTTTGTCAGTTTTGGATTTGCTTTTCAAGGGACTCGATCGTTCACCCGATCTGTATCAGGTGGGCCAAGTGCCACGCAGCTGAGCTGGCAGCAGGCAAAAACTGTTGCTTGGCGTGGCATGTGAGGATCAGACAGTGCCACACGAAACTTTCACTATGGATCAGGAACTTTCACGCAATTCACACCAGTGCGTGCTGCAGATGTTTTTACAGCGAATCAGCATCAAAGTCGCCTATTCTTTACAATACATTAGAGATAATTTACATGTGACGAGATTTTGTCCTCAGAAATCTCGTAATCACGCAACCATTTCCTCAGCGTAACTGGAAGATATTATCGACGAACGAGTGTATTTGGATGTCCCAACTGTCGAAGTGAGCGTTGCTCACGTCCTGGCACTCCACTGCCATCTCGGAAGTGGGCATATCGGAAGGAAACTTCCAAGAAACTTTGCTCCGATAAGCGCGCAGAGTGTACCCCCGATACAAGTCTGAGGCTCAGCCTACCCTAGTAAAATTAGGCTGAAATTTCAGACAACTCATAAGAAAAAACTCTGGAAAATCAGACATGGTACATAAATAAATTCTTTGAGTTCAGACTAGGTACAAAAAAAAAGTCTGAACGGACTCTGATTCAGACTCCAAAGTCTGATATCTAGGGCACTGACCAGCATGCCATTTAGCATACCGGTAATACAATTGGTTGCAATCACAACACCAGAAACTTGACTTACCCGTAGCCCCTTGGGCAGTCACTGCAAATGGTACTGCATTAGCTGCTGCAGCTGCTGCTGCTGAGTCTCCTAATCCTGTTGGCCCTGCTGCTGCAGCTGTCTCAGCTGCTCCTGACATGCCTCCATCCACGCATTTACCTTGTCCATGGCTTGCTGTAGCTCCTCTAATGCCCTCTGCCTATGCAACTCCTGCTCCCTCTCCTCTATTGCTCCCCCCTGCCTCAGCTTCTCCCCACCAGGAGCAAATTTTCCATCCATATTCTTTGCGTTGTCTTCTTCCTCCCTTTCCTCCTCTTCCTCCCTCCCGCCTTCTTTCTCATTCTCATCCTGGTCTCCATCAGAAATAAACTCCTCTTCTTCTGTCTCACCCAAACCTTGCTCCTCTCTCACCTCTCCCCACCTCTCCTTTCCCACAGGCTGCAGCCCTCCACGTGGCGTCACAGGAGCGCTGCCAGGTGGCGGAAGCGCGTTGGTCAATAATGGGCTCGCTGCTGACTCACCACCCATTCCCATCCGCAACATCTCCGCCTGCCCGAACCTCGACGGGAACCTCGACGGCCGGTCCGGCGAGGAGGTTCGGTGGCGTCGAAGCTCGCGATTGGTAACCCGACCAACATGGCTCGTTTCAGTTCGCGCGCCTGCTGGCGACGGACAAGGCATCCCAGCCAATGCAATCGCTGCAGCAGCAGACAGCCGCGCCGCCTCGTCCTCTTTGCCTATTCGCTTCCCGTGTCCGTGCCCTTGCCCGTGGTCGGCCATTCCCCCTCTGCCACCGACCGTTTGGTCCTCCGCTCCGCCCTTTGCGCCACCCGCTACGTTTGCCGCACCCGCGCCCTGGAAACCCGCGCCAGAGGCAGCGCTCGCACCGCCGTTAGACGGCGCGATTGCTGCAGCTGCTGACGCGGCACCAGAAGCTACCGCTGCTCGCCTCTCCGCCTCCGCTCCCCCGCGCGGCGATCGCACCGCCGCGCTCCCCCTCTGCCGCAGTCGCTGCTTCGCTATCGATCTCGAAGGCGACGCGCTTCCGGGGAG